AAAAAAAAAAAAAAAAAAAAAAAGAAACTGGAAGAGGTAAGACCTTCTAGAGTGAGTGTGGCCCTGCTGAAACTTTGGTTTTGGATTTCTGCTCTCTAGAACTGAGAAAATTAATTTCTGTTGTTTTAAGTCATTCATTGTATGGTAATTTGTTACAGCAGCCTCAGGAAGCTAATATAAGTCAATAACAAGGGAATAGAGTTTGAAAACAAATGCCTTTTTTCAACCTATTCCATTTGTAAAGTGTAGTATACTCTCCATCTTTACAAACTACATTCATAGCTTTTGGATAGCAGATTCACTGGCTGCACACTGGGAGCAGTTACTGTACACAATACCAAGAAACATCAAATGACTCTGACATTTCAAGTCATCACCTTCGTCCTCCTAAGAAGGAATGCTGACCTACCACATTTTCCTTTGCAAGTGTGTAAACAGAAACTAGCTACAACCCAGGAGCATGCCAGTTGAGAGTTATGCAGGAAGAATTCTGCATGTAATCTCTTTTATCTCTTTTTCTATTGTTCTCTTCCCTCAGAATCTTTTCTTCCTACCTCTGTATATTACATAAAGAATGCCTTGGGAAAGACAGTTCACCAGGCTCATCTCCTTTCTCTGGGTTAGAAGAAGGGACTGCACACACAAGCTGAGAAAATTTATTTTCACAGAAAGGTCAACTGAAACCTTCTTTGTTTGCATTCCGTGAGGTAAATGTTTACGATTTTAAGTTTCAACTTTCTGATAAAGGAAATGAAACCTGTTTGAAGAAGTGAATAGTGACAGGAGAGAAAGGGTAGTTTGAAATTTTTCTCTCTGTATAGCACATGGTCACACTGAAGTGAAAATCATTACCATGCATGACCCCTTAGCAAAACATGAGCAGAGTCAGCAAATAATAGAATCAGGTCAACCAAGAGGAAGTGTAACACAAGTCAATATGAGTGTTTGTAGGTCATTTATCAAACAAGATTCAGGAGGGATGTGGCTGGTGAAAAGTTGTTACTTGCACAAAGTGAAGTGTGAGTGAGCATATGAGCAAACTACAAAACTCAGAACTATCACGGCCAATTACGGCTTTGCCACCACCACCTTGTCTGTAATTTTACAGGGTTCTTTTTTTTTTTTCAGAATGATCACGGAACAGCCAACTGCCTCTCTTGGTTTTGTGAAGTATGAATGCAAATCTCAGCAAGACAAACTAGTTTTCTAGAAGTTTTACTACAATTACTCCGGTCCATTTTATCCCAACAAAAATGGATAATGGTCATTTTTCCATAGTGATAAAAATTAAATATGCTATAGTAAATGCCATCATAAAATTATGTAGGAGAGGTTATGAAAGTGATGGAATTTGTCAGATAATATGAGTGCTGGGATGAGTTAGATAGCCAAAAGAAACCTGGAGAGGATTTTATAAGGGAAGTGATGATAAATTCAATCTTGAAAAATGAATGTTCCAGGCAGTAAAGTGAGGACATTTTGTTGGAGGAAATAGCATGGGAAATAAGTCGAGATTCATCTGACAGATCATGTTTAAGAGGAGAATGGACCTGAGAGGGCTATAACTGGGGACAAGGAGTCTAGTTAGAAAGCTACTGAAATAATTCAGGCAAAAAAAAAAAAAAAAAATGATGAGCACTTGAACTAAAGTAGGGCAACTACTTTAGTAACTAGATTCTAGAAATATTTAAGAGTCAAAGAAGTAGCTGATTGAATGTGAGAGATGAGAGAAAGAAGTGGGGAGAAAGACATACAGGAAGACAGAGAGAGAGAGAGGGAGGGAGGGAGGGAAAGAAGGAGGGAGACAGGG